AGTGGTAAAGTCAAATGTCATAAAGTCAAGTGTTCGTAAAGTCAAGTGTACTTGACCCCATGTATTCTCTATGTATTTTCTCTGCGGGGCTCCGCACGGAAGAACCCTTCGCGATGCTTTCGGGAAAAATGTCATAAGCATGTTCATCACCACTGCCCAGCTATACTCGTTAATTATCAGAACCATGAGCAGAAGCATCAGAATACAATGCAGAAGCCCTAAACCCTTAACCCGCGGGCGCCTGCTGCAATGCTCGACAGCTCGCCGAATACCTGGGAGGACGTGAGAGCTTCTCGATTCTGTGGGGTTTGGGGCTTTTGACTTACGTTTCAGGTTTTAGGGCTTTGGTTTAGGGGTTTTGGGCTTTATCAAAGCGGTCTAAAGGTTCACATTACTGGTTACTTGGAGGATCATGGGACTGAGTAACTAGGGTTATACATCAGGTATAACTTTAATTATAACCCCAATCAGAGCCAGGTTCCGCTTCAGGTAAGGATCTCCTGCAATGTAGGGGCCTTAATACTTAGAATAGGGCTTTGGTGCTCATTACACTACAATTATAATATGGAACCACCAGAATACAATAAATAAGTAATCAGGCCTCTATATTATTTCGATTTCCGGGCCCATCTTTTTCAAAGGACTTTCCTTCAACAGTCCCCACATCTGAACTCGCGATTGCCGGCGAGCTCCCTAAATTATAAACCGTCTGCTGAGAGCCCCGGCGCTGTGTGGTCCGTGGGCCGCTAGACGCGAGATGACTTCCGGCGCCTACCCGCAAGTCGGGTGCAGAGTTTGGGGATTGGGTGGCCCTAGCCTATAAACCCTGAACCCTAAACCCCTACAAGCCTACAGTCCTGAGCTCTAAACCCCGAAACCATGTGTACACCCTCAGCCCTAGAGGGTTTAGGAAACCCTAAACCCTTAAACCCTAAACCCGAGAGGGTTTAGCAAACCCTGAACCCTAAACCCTAGAGGGTGTGGGAAACCTCAAACCCTAAAACCCTAAAATGTAGAGGGATTAGGAAACCCTAAACCCGTTAGAACCTAAAACCCTTAACCCCTAAGCCCTAAAGCCCTAAAACCCTAAAACAATAAAACCCTAAACCCTAAAACCCTAAACCCCTAAAGCCCTAAACCCGTGTTCATAGGGCCAGAAGCCGGCTTTGGCCAGGGCCGGAAGCCTGGCGCTTTGTGTGTTCGGTGTCCCGGCTACGGGTTTTAGGGTTTAAGGCTTTAGGGGCTTAAGGCTTTAGGGTTTTAGGGTTTAGGGTTTAGGATTTAGGGTTTTAGGGTTTAGGGTGTTAGGGTTTAGGGTTTTAGGGTTTAGGGTTTAGGGGTTTAGGGTTTTTTTTAGGATTTTAGGGTTTAGGGTTTAGGGTTTGTTTAAGGTTCAGGGTTTAGGGTTTCGGGCGTCCAACTTGGATCCTTCAGGCTTGAAGCTTTTTTGTTGTTCAGCGCCTCTCTTCCTGTCTGCAGCAGAGTCTGAGCTTCTATAAAGCCCTGTTGGGCAGGCCTTTGGGGTTTGAAGGTTTAGGGTTTAGGGTTAGGGTTTAGGTGAAGGCTTACGGTTTAGGGCTTGACGGTTTGTGGGTTAGGAGGTGTCTATAGAATACAATTCTTGAATTATCAATCCCACAAAGCCTCTTCGATTTGGTGTGCTTCGCCCTAGAACCAGAATAGAGGTAGCAGTTGTATAAATCCCTCGTTCGTTTTGTGATGACTAAAAATACATGCTTCCTAAGAGCCCTAAAGATGATTCCTGTGGGGTCCGCCCTCGTCAGGCGAACCTGGAGGTTTAGGGTTTTGGGTTTAGGAGGGGCATTTGTCGACGTGAAATAATTAGGACCCTCCTTGGTCCTCCCAAACAATAAGCAGTTAGGGCTTAGTCGAGGGTAGACGGAGGGTCTGAGAAGGTTCTATATTTGAGGTTTCTACAAGGGGTTTAAAGGGTGTTACAGGGTTCGTGGGATATTATCGGGCTTAGTATTAAATATGGGTGCCTTACTTCTTCTAATAAGCCTAGACCCTAAACCCTAAACCCTAAACCCTAGACCCTAAACGAATGAAGCTTGAAAACTGAGACCGGTGCCGAGACGAGCGCAAAGACATCCCGCGGCAAGACGAAGAAGTGAGGATCGAGCCTGCGTTGGGCCTTCCCTCAAGCCTCCTGTAAGGGTTCCTTTAAGGGGTCCTTCTAGGGTTCCTTTAAAGGGAGTTCTTAAAGGGGGTCCTTCTAGGGTTCTTTTAAAGGGAGTTCTAAGGTTCCTTTTTAAAGGGGGTTCTAGGGTTCCTTTAAGGGGTCCTTCTAGGGTTCCTTTAAAGGGGTCCTTCTAGGGTTCTTTTAAAGGGAGTTCTAAGGTTCCTTTTTAAAGGGGGTTCTAGGGTTCCTTTAAGGGGTCCTTCTAGGGTTCCTTTAAAGGGGTCCTTCTAGGGTTCCTTTAAAGGGAGGCCTAGGGTTCCTACGCCCAAACCCAACTTGAGAAAA